CATGGCTTACAATATTGCGACGTTCGGTTGACAATTTGCGATATCAAGTTCTGTTATCTACTGGAAATATGCTTGGTATTAGAAATTGCTTCTAGTTATTAATAATAGCAGGAGACCCCCGGCTATATTTGGTGCGTGTGCTGTCATATGGCGAGTGATTGAAGTAGATTATAGGTTTGGATGTCATTGTGAGAGGTGTTGCCTCTTGCCTATGGAGCATGAATTTTTCATTTAAAACGATCGGGCTGCCAGCCTGTCACGCAAGTCGCATTGTGACCTTCGCTCTGGTGGCATATCTAAATGGTTAACAACAAGAGCAAAATAGACTTCACTTCAGACAATAGTTTCATTGTTACTGTATCATTTTGCTGGACATGGAGTCTAGTCGAATTTTTTTATATTTTTACATAAGTTTAAAAAGGTATTGTTCTTTTGATGGATCATTTTTGCATGAAAGATTGGCATGACAAAGTGTAGTTGAGCCTGTCTATTCCAAGCGTTGGGTAGTCATTATATCATTGGACAGTAACCCATTGTATGGCATCTGTCCAAAAAAATTTCTCAACAAATAGTCAGCACCAGAGGTGGAAGAGTGAATTTATCATGTGAAAGGGGGTGTGAGAAAGACGTTTGCATGTAAGTGTGGGTTTTATTTGTCAATAAATATTCGTCTTGTTCAAGTGCACTTCAAAGTCCGTCCCATTCAGTGCTAAGCCCGCCTATTGATCGACAAATACCTGATAAAAAATGGTCTATTGTCTATTGAAAGTGAATATTTATGACCGAAAATTGTACTTGCAAAACATTATTTGAAATGCTAGAAAAGCAAGTTTGTATTGAGTTTTGTAACTGGCAACATCTGATTGTATCTCTATCAGTTGCAGTTTGTTGCGAGCAACTGCATAAAACTTGTTGGAAGTCCATAAAAGTAGTTGGGACTCATAAAACAGTTTTATCTAAAATCCCTGTGGTTTAGCACTGGGGTGCTAAGCATGTGTATTTATCCTGTTTCTTTTTTACTGCTTGGAAAGACAATAACTGACAAGGCTAGGAAGTCCCAACCGTGACTGTTTACAGTTTGAATTTACACATCTTTGAATTTATTTTGTCTTTTCCTAGTTCAGTGTAATGGTGTGGCAGTTGTTACCTTACAACTATGTGATTCAGCATGCAAACAAGTTCTTGCTTTTGAAACTGCTGTGAAATATAGTCTTGTCATTGAGATTCAGCGAGCGAAGAAGTTCTTGCACTGTCATTACAATTCCAAGTGAGTAGTCCACAACCTTTGAAGTATTTTTTTTGCTACCGATCGATATACAGCATATGGTTTTCTGCTTCACATAGCTGTAAAAGTTAGCCATTGCTTAAGTTCAGCTCTCTTTGGCAGAGAGTATTATGCTGAACCATCTCTGAGGAAGTCAAGTGCAGTACTGTGTGGATACACTTGAAAGCATTTGCAATTTATCGGGGGACCGGAGTCAGCCGTCTTGGCACAGGCTCGGCATGTCTGATTGCAGAGAGAGACTCCTAAATAGCAGGTACAAATCCGGCATGGGGGTGTATTTGACGCAATTGAATCCTTTGTGTGGAGAAAGCGAGAAAACGGCTCTCCTAATGCATTAATGTCTCCGTCATCTGCCAAGTATTCACGCTGACGTCATATCGGAACCGCCGCAGAATCGCAAAGATTATCCCCGCGATTCAGTTCCAATTCTGGAACCCGCATTTCCGCAATTCTGAGATGGCCATTTTGAATGCACGGATAAGACCCAAAATAGATGTTTCCCCTGCACATTCACATTTGTGGAATTTGTCGATCGGATGCCGCCGTATTGTGTCAAGACTTCAAAGAATAAGAACATCCTTTGCAGCTGTTGAGCCGACAAATTCCACCTACCTGTAAATCACATAAAAAGCCGCTTATTACAGAACACCCGCGACAATACCACAGTGTGCACCTGTGTCAAAGGGTGTAATTTTTGGCCAGGAAAAGGCAATAATTTTGTGTTTCATTATGTATTGCCGAAGGTTTTGCCACCGGCTTGCTTGTTAATTACCTCGTTGACTGTCAGTACAGGAATGCATTTGTATGCAAAACGTTTGTGGTAGATAATTGGCAAAGGTGATAATTAATTTGACAGGAATGTAAATATGTATAAGTTGTTGAGTAGGCTTGTATACCCTGGCACTTTGGGCATCTGTTGATGTTACACCAATGTGAATTGACTGGAAAAATGCAGATGTTGTTACACAAAGCTTGCAAAATTTGTTCACCTTTACTTTAAAATAGTGGCTTATGAAAATGCTCAATGAAATAACTTCAGGAAATCGCCTTGAAAAACCTCAAACATGCGTCACACTGATGTTTAGCAAAAGCAAAGAGTAGTGTTGGAAGACCATGTATATACAACAATGTATACTTCGCTTGCATAACAATGATTTGACCCTTTTAAAAAGGCCTCCAACTCTCCCAGCCTTGTTTTTCGTGAGCCCGGGGTAATATATATCAGTTTGCATGGTTGCCCTTTGAATGAAGTAGAGTATAGACCTATACCCCGCCAATGTTTGCTCCCACGAACCTAGAATACAAAAGAGACATCCTCACAGATTCCAACATTCCGACAACGGTCACAGTGATCCAAGTATTTTCAAGGATTTTTTGTGGGAAGTTTTGGCAGATCTCATCAATAAAATGCTTTTAGAGTTAATCCAGGGCACAAATGTTACGGTACACAATGTGCAGTGCAATACTAATGAGGCAGTTTATACTGTTTGGGGCTGCAGACTCTGTATAGGCACTCTGTATTAGGACTCTGCTGTAGTGAGGTGAGTGCTAGAGAGAGCTGTGCTGTGCATAAAAATGATCAGGGATCCGTCCCATAGATAACATTACCACTAATAAGTTTGTGAAGGTAAATCTGTGTAATATGTAATCTTGTAGAATTGGCGATGAGCTGGATAAGACACCAAATTGTTGGCATCATCGCGGAGCTCATCAAATTTTTATCCAGAAACAAGACGCGTAATCGAATTTGCAACCGCCGGGTCCATCTTAACGGGATCGCGAGTGAAAATTGACGAAATGATTTGTGAGACTTCCTAATGCAATTACGCAGACGGGGGATGTGATAAGCGGGTTACGGGCCGGCGGGCGACGGTAATGCCGTTAATATCATATTTCCCAAATTTCTAGCTCCTCTTCGGAGTCAAACGGTGTTTGTTGTACAACCTGGCGATTTGGTCGGGTCGCAAAGTTCGTTCGTGTTGGTCGGCAGTTTGGTGATACCCCATCTGTCCTGGCTGTGCGGAAGTCAGGGAAACCGGGGAGGGGTTCAGGCATCCCCAAACACTTGACGAGAGACACCTGCCCACCACGGCCAGGTGAGGGTTTTCCGTCAGCCCCGCCGGCCGTAAAAAAACCTTAAAGTACCGTCAACAATCCCCAAACAGGTGTGCTGAAGTGGATGTCAAGTGTGGGGAATAAATCTGACCAGTTTGTTTTCATTGAAGCTTCCTGCGTTGCCAGTATATTACCAGGGTGGGAGGGGAGTAGCTGGCTGTTTTGTTGGCGACTTGACTTTGGCTAGCACCCGCGCAGAGTGCAGTCGTCCAGCACGTGTTATCTGTGAATAGGCTATAGAGCCTGTTTGGTCAGGTGGTATGGAAGCAGGCTTGTTTGAACACTGTCAAGGCCCTGCTTGTAGACCTGCAGCAATTCTAATTGGTGGGACAAAGGACCCAGATAAGAAGGGCCTTGTATTGCCATTCCTTCTTTCATTTGTAACACGTTCACAATGCCTCTTTTCTCCACGGGCAGGTAGTTGGGGCACGTTGGCAACTTTCTTGTGACTCGCTCCAGCCCACAATATACACTTCAGCTAAGCCTTGTGTTGGCTCTGGGTGTCACGTTCACATTGCCTGGCATTGACTGAGGGTGTCAGTGTGTTGTTTATGATAGGTGAAGATGTGAAACATGTGGTCTATCTCCCTGAAAAGCGTTGTGTTTCCGCCATTGTGGCGGTCGGATTGTTACCTGCTTTCGCAGAGTACAGGTGTGTATTGCCCAGAACAAGTTTACCTTTGCCTCCTCTGTCTATTTGAACACGACGATACTGCCCCAAGCGGTCCACAGTAAATATGCCTGATTTGGGCCATACACACAGAGGTATGTGTTGCGAAGGAACCTATTTTGCGCCTTCCTGCAGTTTGCCCAGGCTACCAAACAGTCGCGGCATGTCGCGGCGAATACTTGCCGCTCGCAGTTAGAGGGTCAGACTATCAGATCGACTGGAGATAAGGCCGGTAAACCGGCAGCCAGACGAAACAAAGCGTACAATATGCGTGAAGATCTTGATTACAACAACAGTGTTCTATCTTTATTAAACTGTTCCCCTCGCTTCTGTCTGTTAATCCTTGTGTCCTTAGGCAGATAAGGAGAAGTACTAAGGAGCAAACTGGCTTCTGTTAGCCTGTCCAAGGTTTGATATTGGGTGAATAAGGGGGCGATAAAGTATCTAGCAGCCAAACCTAGTGCGGTACTCAGGCAAAATGAATAATTTATTCAATGATAGCAATGTTATATTATTTGTCTATATTTACATGGCATATCTATTTCTGCATTGTGTCGTTAAAACTGTATCTTCATGTTATTTGTCAGTATTTTGAGTAACTGTTTTCCGTGTATATCGTGTTGATTATGTGACGTTATCAGGTGATTGATGTAAGTTACAAAACGGCGTGTACAGTGTAACCTCTTTGACATTGAGTCGGTTGTTCACTCAATATGCTGGAAGGTAGAAAAGGGTGGGGTTTTAGCGGGTACGATATCTATCATTGTCAGCTGTCGCCTCATCAGTCATGGGGCTTTATTACCCCTGGGGCATTACCTTTTTACGACACGCTAGGGAAGAAATGCTAATTTATGTGAGATTCCCATCCTAGGGTAATCCATCATGCCTGACCTTTTTTTTTTTCTCTCTTCCTTTCTTCCCATTTCACAGAGATCTGAGCAATAACCAGTTGAGAATACTAAATGCCAGTGTGTTCCGAGATCTCAAGGGACTGCGGGAATTGTAAGTAGCTCACTTTCATCATTACCTCCTTTAGGCCACACCAATTTAATTTCTTGGTTAACGGATTTTTCTAGAAAAATAATGGAGCGGGCGGGCGAAAAATAAATAAAAATAAAAACAGGCTTGGGCATCCTATTATGGCCCAAAATGGTACGATAGGAGCCATGAAGGCAACACACCAGGCTGGGTTAAAATTCAAACATTGAATTTTGAACTTTTAATCAAACCACTGCAATGATAGATGGGAAAATTGTAACAACTAGGAAGAAAAGGACTTTCCTCAACTGTTGGGGGCAAAATATGAGCATTTTTCAGTTGATTCAGGACCAGAATCAAATTTTTATTTTTTTTGCAAATCAGAAAAAAACGAAGAGGCGAATCCGAGAACCAACAAATTAAATTGGTGTGGCCTTACCTACCTTTGTATCCACTGCGGTGCGTTTTGATTGATCCGTGATGCGAGCAGGTTATTCATCAAATGCGTACAAGGTTTCCCTTTACATCGTAAAAGAAAATGACACATGTTATTGCGCTCCAAAGTTCAGGGTGCAGCGGGCTAGTCCAAGGGCAGGAGGGGAAAAGGGGGGGGGGGATTGGAGAATACCGTCTGTTTTGTTCTAGCGAAGACCAAGGCCAAGGGCATATTGGAAAACATATCCCAGTGATCCGTTAGCATATCCCATAATGGAGTCTAGTTCTTTTGGTGCTTACAAAATCATTTGTGGAAAAAAAGGGGTACTGAGGCAGGGAAAGCGGTGTGATCCATATCGGCCCATGTACACTGACCCTACGTCTCACCACACTTCACACGGCTCAGAACATTTTCTAACCGTCAGGTCCCTATCCCTCCGTCCTTTCTCGGAAGTATTTTTTCCCCGGCAATGGCGGGTCATTAGGCGGACCCAAGGGTGACATCCCGTTTTATGGATCGGGTTTCCCGATTTACCCCCACCGCTCGCTCGCTCGGCGTTCGGAAGGCGAGCACGCCAGCCGTATGATTGGGGTGACCGGCGGAATGGCTTACAATGGAGCGGGGGTCAGGGGTCAAACGAAGGGTTGCGGAATAATCCTCAGACAAGGCCTTGGTGGGAAGATAAAGCGCATTTAATCTGGGACTAAGCTCAGTTATAACCAATATTGGTTTGTATCACAATATGGTGTGATTGATCGTTATTGTGCATTTATTATATGCATTCAAAATGGGCTGTTCGAATATGCCATCAGAAAATTCAAATACTCCTTGGTCACAGTAATTCGGAAAGACAGTGACAGAATTTATTGAAATTCATCGGTTTCATTGAATTTGGTAACAGCTATATACATACCTTCTCTTCTAATTCTAGAAATTTTACATGGAGAAAATAAATTATTATTCAAGACCAGTGCTGTAGAAAATCTGGGCAGCCGAGAATTCGCTATTTGCAGAAGAAACTGTTACAGGCCGCGATTCGCCGGGTCTACTACCAGATTGTGATGCCAGTGTGGCTGCGTATCTTTTATTTTCTGATTATTGGACGCCGGCATCATTTAATGACTCCCTGATGTCTTCCCCATTACTTGGTATGTATGGACGGGGAGTCTGGCCAAGAGTGGGATCCTCTGTAAGGCAATCATATCCCAATCAAGGGGGTAATACATACTGATATAGGCTTACGGCCGCACCAGGATGGAGTGCCCCGCAGCTTTGTAAAGTGGGCCCGAACGCTTTTTCCCTAGGCTATATTTCATGTCCTCCTTGGCGGTGTCCGTCCGAGGTCACACCGAGTGGTCAAGTCGAGAGGATTGGGCCGCCCGGCTATCGATTGGCTATCCGAGCCACATTCTAAATCGTCCAATTTTGCCGAGGGTAATTTGGGAAGAATTGCGCGATGTCAGCCATTTGGACAAGTTTCCAATATTGTTGGTATCCTGGCGGCGTCAGGGTGCCTGGCACCGGGGCCCGGGAACAGGTGGCCAAATGACCACTAATTTCCACAGTCGCACTTCAGGGTATTTGGGGAATTGCCTGTGGTCAGCGAAATCCTCCGATTCCCCCACTGCATCTGATTCTGAAAGACAGGAAAAATGCTTAGACATTTGCAAGCTTTTTGGTAGTGCCATTATATAGCCAACAACATGTGTGAAGGATATAAAATAACAGAACAAAGCATGTTTCTTTTTTGTCTGTCTTAAAATATATAGCTACTAGCCCTGTAGGCATTGATCTGTTTTATCTTGTATGCATTTGTCATGCCTGGTTATCTGGACATATACCAGGAAACATTCTTAAAGTGTGTGTCTTTTCGTTTAACTATTCATATCAGTCAATGTTACCGTCTGACATTGAGTCTCCTCTCTGAACAAAACCTGCCTTCACGAATATCTCACAGTCCTTGGCGCGGCCATTAAATTTTCATAGCTTTTGACCTTATGTTTCCACATGTTCTAAAGATGAGTTATGAAGCTGGAGGGCAAAGTCATCGATCATGCGCCGTCTGAACATTGAAGAACAAAGATGAAAGATATTTATAAGATGTAACAAAGAATTGAAAAGATGTTGAATGTGCTTGTGGTAACTGTACTTAATGTGTCTTTTTTTTCTATCTGTTTTTTTGCAGGAAAATTGACCACAATCATCTGACGGAATTCGTGAATGTTGGCGCCTTTGCTCCAAACCTCACCGTTCTTAGCCTGTAAGTATAACATACATTATTAAACTTAGAAGTATCTTTATATACCGTCATGACTTATTCAGTATCAAGGGGTGGGGAGCAGTTGTTGAAAATAACCAGCTGGTATCAGTTTTCGAGACGTAACCAAAAATGTGTATTTTTGCCCTTACTAAAACCCATACAAAATTGCATTTTGGCAAACATTATACATGCAATTTCAAACATACACAACTAGTAATATATCATGAAGTCAGTAGTAAGCTCAAAAGCTCCTAAGCAATATTATACAGACACAATTGAACCCCTATCCTGATTTTTATTTCAGTCTGCAAAATTGCAGGTTGCTTCTGCAATATTGAAAATGTCTCTGCAAAATGCAGACTGCAGATGGGTATTTCTAACACTAGCCTAGACAGGCTAAACAGTAGCTGTCCAGCCTTGATGCCCAGTGGCATGTGATAAACTCACCTTTTATGCACCACTTCATAGCAGAATCCCCCCAGGATACTCAGCTATAGTGATGCTCCCTGGCATTCCAGCACAGCCCAGCAGGGAGTAGTAGCTAGGGGAGCTTGGTGCTGACCACCTGCAAAAACTACGGCCCATCAATCATCAGGCACATCTCAAGAAACCCAGGGGGGTCATGATCTCCTGGATTTGGC